TTCTTTAATAGACCCGTAGAATTATGGTCTACATCGGTTTTCAGTGCATGTATCTTTGCTACCAGAACGATAGGCCTAATTGTAGATCTCCTATGATGAACCTACCTAGTCTCTAAGACCTTACATGGAAGTCACATCATTGTCTGTATTGAGTCATTCTATCATGACAGTCAACAATATGATGTTTAGCACTTCTGAAGAACACATTTAGGCTTGAGCTAGAATAATAAATTTAATATTGAAAGGGATAAGCTAAGTAGTGACTACGCTCACATGGCCGAGCCATACCATACAGACCAAGTGTTCCCACGTTCACCGTTCCTGACCTTCTCCTTGGTGTTAAATCTTGAATGCAAATCTCCTCAGTTATCGTCTATTCGGCTTCAAGGATTGTTTGGTTGGGAACCACTAACACTACAGATTCATGCTCAGATAAACCACCAAGTTGTTTAAAAGATGGAAAACATTTGGCGAGTTTACATTTTATTATACTATAAAAGTATTCCCTCTTCTGTTGATTGTATATTAAGGAAAGCAACCCATGGTGTCACTGAAAAAGAATTAAGACGATGAAGAAAATGTTTTTTTCATTGACATCATTTGCCTAGCCAATATGCAAATGTTTACACCTGGGTGCGTATACACAGAAAGAGAAATTTAATCCAACTTTATTTTAAAGATCTAAGTGAATACGCTCGGAAGACACGACAGACGAGGAGTTGTCCTACTTTCGACAGATATTTCTATCCATCCAATTTTTTTGAAGAAAACATGAAACCCAAATTACAATCTACAATACTTCATACAGTTCCTAATAAAACTTTTCATAGACATTGGGTTTAGATGATATACTCCTGATCAAGTTTTGAATAATCGTCTAACGAAGTCCTTGAAGGAAACATTTAAGCTGCCAAACTTTGCATTGTCCTTTCCAACCTCCTCATAATTTGTAGATGTAAAAAGGATAAACTCTTTCATCAAACCACACCAGTGTAAATTTATAAGTTCACGTGTTATTGTAAAGGAGGCTACATAGACTGCATCGCGAAAATTGTCCCAGGCGGCTTTTGAAAGGTGTACGTCACTCAATCAACAGTTCAATATTAGAACATCTTTAGTGTGGCGTCGAGTCGCATTTGACAATGATCACCCCTACAGGAAGACTACGTACCAGTTAACAGATAAGATCCCCCATAGGCCAAATATCAGAAGGCAGTTGATGGCTGTAGTCGAGATGTATTTACTGGCGATCTCGTGGTATCGAGAGAATACCGAGATCGTGCCAGATTACAAGTGGAGTTACTGGGCGTAACTGAATTCGTACAAGGTCACAGTCAACGGAAGAAGGAAAATCTTTGGTACAGTTAAACAAACAAGTACAGTAAAACAATCACTGGTACAATTGGTTATAATAATAATTGTTTTCATTACACCAATCGCGTTCTGTTGATAAAAGTAAGTCACTACACATCTTATAAAATCTGGTCCAATGGCATCACCTGAGAAGGCTTTTCAAGTCGTCTATTCAGTCAGATGATATGGCCCAAAAGGAATGAAAACCAATAAACCCTGCACTGGAGAGGTGGTAGCAATCAATCTTTCCAAATCTGGACTCTGCTTCCAGGAGAGACATGGGCGAGCCATCATTTTTCAATGGCCACAACCCCTAATTTTCATAATCACGAACTTCATTTCATTACATCCTTCTAGTGTTTTTAAGATTCTTAATTTCAGTTACTGGTGATTATCACGTTCACTTTTTTTTATTTATCCTATACCTTTCCCAAATGCCCTGGTACGGCCGAGAGTGGGGAGAGTCCGCTCTCCCTCTCGAAATGCTCTCGCGTGGCCGTGCGTATATAGCCTCTGCCAGGGAAGTCCTACTCACTGCCTTCTCGTGGCGGGGGTGTTGTTTACAAAAATGAGAGGACGAAAAGCGAATGTCTGGCGCTTTAACCGGACCCAAAACCAATGGTGCACATGGGCTCCAGTATCCTGCGGGAACAAATGGCGTATGAACCAATCGTTGGTCACCGGCTACCATGGGACTGCATCTCCTCACGATGCTCCACTGCCTTGTGGGTCAGACGTTCAGGTCGAAGGCTCGGGGTGTGGCCCCCTAAGAAAACCACCTGCTTCGGTTTGGGCACCCGGGCAGTATCACAGCCCTCACACAAATCAATTGAGATTCGTGTGGCGCATATGTACTTGGTGCCTCCCTGTACCTATACTTATGTGTTAAAATAAATAAATAAATAATTTCCCATACTAGTCAAGCGGACAATTATCCACCTCATTTTTGATTTCATCTTATTATCTTTCTTCGATTCTCGATTGTTAAATAATTTGACTATTTTATTCGCGAATCGATTATAAATACGACTGTGCGACTTGAGTAAGTGAAGTCGTCGAAGAGAAAAATTCTTTGATTGCCTAAATTCTTTTATAATACGTAATGCGAAAATGGAATATATCTTAAATTATACAAGACTACTTAAAAGTGTTTTAGTAGTAAGGTTTTTCATATACATTTTTATTAGCGTTTATTGATTGCATTTTTCAGTATAGATTTCCATCATAGAACATGTTTTGTATACGAATGGTGAATTATGAATAAGGATTATACTTACGACGACAACTACTGAGTGAAGTAAAATGCTACTTGAAGTCTATCAATGATTACTTGATTATGGAATGCAGTTCATATTAAGCACGAATTACATTTGAATGACAATGAGAAATGAATCATTGTAGCATTATTTGAATCAATCAATTAGTCAAGTATTCTCCTGTTACTTAAGGTATTCTTTTATGAATTTCGTTGTCCTTTTTATTTAAACAAGAATTATAATCTCCAATTTTAATGTATTTTGCTGTTTCTACAATTTTATTACCAACATTTTAGTAGTATATAATTTATTTTTATCACTTTTTGTAAACTACTAAACAATTCTCGATCAATATTGAAATACGAAGCTAATTATGTACAGTAGTAGGATTGAGATTATTTTGCATAATTTCTTCTCAGTTTTCTATTGGTTCACGAATACGAAAAATGACGAAATACTGTGATAATAATCATTGTTTTACGAGATTTTACTATGTTTATGATAATGAATCAAGATTATGACTATCAACAAAGAATAATCAATCATTTTCGTAGTGCGAGTTTTAATTGTAAACTGTAGTAGATGTAGAACAGAAGTAAGACATAAGACTGCGGATCAAGTGTATCAACGCGATAGTTAAATCTAGATCTTGTTACTCTTTTGTAAAATAATGGATTTCAACAAGATTACATTACATTATTTCCGAGTCTGTTTAGTAATAAATATTTCTGACGTCAGAAATACAATTTTTCTACTCATTGGGATATAACAGAATATATTTATTATTATCTTTCTACCTAATGCTCAATTTATTTGAAACTATCATATCCCCTACCTCATTTAAATTTCATTGACACAACCGTACTTATTGGATTAAGAGATTAGTGGAGGTTGTAGGGTTCTACGATATTCCACATCATGGATCTGTAATTCATTCAGGATATAAAATTGGACTTCTTGGTGCACTCAACTAGGTAACGAAAGTGTAACGTGCAAATTTAAACAAATAGAAAGTAAGAAAACATGACTAAGGATGATAATGTATGTCACGATGTAATTCAATTTGACTGAAGTAGAAAAATACGAGCCGATAGATTTGAACTAATTGACTAAAATATATCATTCCTATTGCCACACTTAAAGTTATTGACCTTGTGTATGAACACAGTTGGAGAGTTTCTAATCAACGTGAAACGGAAATCCAGCACTGTCGAAGATCCTAATGTTTATGTAACTACTACCAGGCCGGGGAAAAACTAATAACAAAATAATATTTCTACTTATTCATTGAATAGATATTCAGATCATTATAAACGCCATAGCGTTATTCACTTAGCTACTGAGTCCTGTTAGCCACCTGCTTGTGCACAAGCAGCTGGCGATTCCCAAATGGAATGAAACGTGCATCCTGGATTCTACTGCTAGTCACTATCCATCTTTGCTTATAATACTTGTGAATTAAGGCAATATCGAGGCCATACGCACAATATGCAGATATGTTAATAAGAGACTGATCAATTGCGGTCCTAAACATTAATGGGAAGATTCAAGTAAACAATACCAAGTGAGATATTCATATCATAAAAAATGCCAATGAAATTGTATGAACCGTTCCTATCTTGGGAATGATGCTTCTGATCATACTGTTTAAATCTGTTTGGTCCAACTTTTATCCAAGACAAGATTGGTGTGAAAAACTGCAATAATATTGATATGCTACGTATCACATGTTACTTCAACTATATCCCAAACACTGGTTAAATTGTCCTATGTTTAATAAGTCAGACTTAATCCATTGGTTATTAATTTTTGTAGACAGATAAATACGTACAGATATATACATACAGACAAGATCGTTTGGTAATAAAACGATAGGTGGAAGTGGACATAGTATACAGTGCGATATTATTCGTCTCTGTTTATTACTGCTGAGATGATCACAAATATACATACATTCATATAAACACTAATGGTGTACTTAAAGCAGTCAATTATTTTAAGTGTTTGTTCATCTATACCCTACGTAGTTAACTTTTTGTTTACATTATGCACAAATGAAAATTTGGCAGGGTTGTGCTTCTAATAACCTGTCGTTTTACGCGGAAAAGCAATACATATTCGCATTCGAAATGGGAAACATTTAAATTGTAGATTATTTTATTCAGGAGCCTATAATTCTAACAAAGCAGACTTAAAAACTATCTTTAATGAAATCATGTGAACAAATGAAAGAAAATACAGTGGAAAATTTTATATATTTTGAGACGCTAGTATAAAAGAATAGAAAACGAAAATCACATTTATATGGTGAATCAATGCAAAAATTCAGATTACTAACCATATAACTATCTGCTTTCATACTGAGAACTTCTATTTTGGAATGTGCAATCAATGGAAATCACTTGGAATAATAATACTAACAGTAACACCGTTACAACTAATTCATCAGTACCAAACATTACTGAGACTGTTTTCACTAATAACAACACTGTTGGTCCTAATGACACTCCAAACGTCATTCCGAACAGTGACAATAATATTTTAATCAATGATCGAGTCTCAGGAAATCATGTTATGGTTACAGAAAATGGTGAGGGTGTTAATGGTTTACGTAAACCACGTCGTAAAACAACACATGCTCATTTATTAAAGTCGAAAACATTCTACAAAACCTTAGACAGATTTCTAGGTCGAAATCTACCCTTAAAACAATTAACGAATGCTTACAAAAGTCACGTAACATCAAATAATCGACTTCCTAGTGTTGATCACATCTCAATACGTAGTCATGATTCAATAACAGACATCCTAGAAAAGTCTGTCTACATACCAGCACTTCTTAGAGCTCGCAAACATCATTGTCGTGTAGTACTGAATGTTGGTGGCGAACGACATGAAGTAATGTGGAAGACTCTAAGACGTCTGCCGTTATCTCGTCTTGGCCGGTTGAGTATATCAAATAATCCTGCAGAACTAGCTCAGTTGTTCGATAGTTATTCAAACGAGAAAAATGAATTATATTTTGATCGATATGCACGTTCATTTGGTTCAATCCTTGGTGTTTACCGTACAGGACATTTACATTTTTTGGAAGACGTTTGTGTGGTGGCTTTTAAAAATGATTTATTCTACTGGGGTATAAATGAATACCAATTAGAAACGTGTTGTTATTATAAATATTATTTAAAAAAGGAACAGGTTCAAGAAGAATTGAAGAAAACTAGAGAAATAAACCTATCTCAGGCTCAAGAAGAACAATTTGGCACAGGAAGGTGGGCTACTTTGCAAAAGTATGTATGGGACTTGGTTGAAAAGCCTCAGACTTCAATGGCTGCTAGAGTAAGTTAGACATTGATCTTTTCAGTTGAACACTGATAGGAGATTGGTTTATTCTGAAATAAGTCATTTTATTAATTATTGATTAATTCAACTGAATTCTTTAGTACTTAAGTCAGTGATCTCTTGGTATTACTGCACTTTGTGATCAACTGCAGCAATTCGAGTTTATTTTAGTCTATTTTAGTGGCCCATTAAACTGACTTCGATTTTAAAGAACGAATAAATATGCCATGAATAAAAATCTTTCCGTATATTATACCTAGGCTAAAACCGTTTGTGAGATAGCGGTGTTAAGATGACAAATACAGAATGTGTCGGAATAATTTATTTCAGACACTGGTTTATTCAGACAGACAGACATTAAGAATGAGAAGTGGGAAAGCAAAATAAATAGGGAAGAAAAGTGTGATAACTCCATTTGATAAAGTGCGACTCAATATTAATGGCCAGAAAAATTAGCTCAAGACATGTGATGAATAGGGCGAGCGATGCAAACATTCACTCATATAAAAGTATAATAAGTGAATAATTGACAAGGTGAAAATGGGACTCATGAAGAATAAATGAACTGCTCTGTCCGTAAGCCAGAATAACCTATGTGGGCTTGATATGGTACTAGACAAAACTATATTCAATATATGTTTACTTGCACCTATTACCCCTCGTGGAGAAGCGTAGGCCCTCCACCAACAGTCTCAATCGCACTTTGCCCCGAGCAATCCTTTCCAGTTGTTTTAAGCTACTATTCACCCTTTTGATGTCTGCTTCCAATTCCCGACTCAATGTGTTCCTTAGTCTCCGCCTTTTCTGTTTCCCTTCAGGATTCCAAGTTAGGGCTTGCTTCATAATACAGTTTGATAATTTCCGTAATATATGTTCTACCCACCTCCAACGTCTTTTTCTAATTTCTTCTTCGGCTGAAAGTTGGTTTGTTCTCTTCCACAGTTGCTTGTTGCTGTTGCTATCCGATCAACAGACATTGAGTATCTTGCGTAGATAATTGTTCGTAAATACTTGTACTTTTTTATAATGGTTGTAGTAATTCTCCAAGTTTCAGCTCCGCACAGTAGAACTGTCTTGACGTTCGTATTAAAGATTCTGACTTTGATATTTGCTGACAGTTGGTCTGAGCTCCATATGTTCTTCAACTGTAGGAATGTTGCTTTTTCTTTGTCAATCCGTGTTTTTGAATTTGCATCAAATCCTCCTTGTTTATTGATGATGTTGTCTGGTCCTGCATCTTCCTCACTACTGATTTGTCTGAGGGGCCATGCTGGTTTCTACGGTAGTTATTAGAGTGACATCTATGGGAAGGTCTATGGATTCTACTTCGATGTCCGGTGGGTGCAGTGGACTGGTCTTTTCAAGATTTCTTCGAAGTGTTCCACCTATCTGTTCCCTTGTTCTTGAATCTCAGTGATTGGCTTGTTTTTTGTCCTTCACTGGTCTTTGTGGTTTACTATATTTCCCTGACAGCTTCTTCGCTGTATTATATAGTTGTTTCATATTTCATTCTGTTGCAGCTTTTTCCTCTGTCGTTGTTAGGTTTTCTGCGTATATCTGATTATCGTCTCTGATGCTCCTCTTCATTTGCTTGTTTTATCCTGTGTCTTGAGTTTCTCTGCTCTTGTTCGGCTGTTGTTGATTGGTGTCTTCCTGTTCTTTCTGTCTTATATCTGGCGCAGGTTATCAACAAAGGTCTATTCTATACGATGTAGTTTGCTGTGTCCCAGAACCTGTTAACATTCCGAAGTTATTGCTTCTCTGATCCTTTTCCAATTGTTATTCATTGTAGTTTCTTCTTCAAGCAGATCTTTTAAGGCTTGGAACCTGTCGCTGTATTGAACCTTTGTAATGCTGTTTCTCCAGTTGTCCAGCGCTTCTTGATCTTCAGTTTCATCTTGTCAACCACAAGCAGGAGGTGATCTGAAGCCATGTCTTCTCATCTTCTGGTTCACATGTCTTCCACTAACCTTCTGGATGTTTTAGTGATGCAAATATGATCGTTCTGATTCTCTGTGGTGTGATCCGGTGTGACCCATGTAGCTTTGTATATGCGTTTGTGAGGGAATGTTGTGCTGGGAATATTGTTTTGAGATCAGTCAGTTAAAAAATAAATAATAAGATTATGTCTTCCAAATAAGTGATGTAATTAAAATAGGGAAGAGAGAGAGAGAAGAAAATCACGAAAATTCTGTAATAAAGTGACGATAAAATCACAATGGTAAGAATAAATTTGCACCAGTGTACTTTTGCATACATAGGTCCGGCTTTAGTCATTTAATGGCTGTGACTTGGACAAATTTGAGAACGATGACATTCGACTGTCAGTTGATGATGTTGAAAAATTCTACTCTATCAATCCGATTATTCGTACCACAGAGGTGTTTGGTAATAGCACTGCTTAAAGTCTAAGGTCCCATTTGTAATGAACAGAGCACGGGTGGTGACAATCGAATGTATTCGACAACAAACTACAGAACTTGTTAATAAAATTTAACAACCATATATTAAATGCTCAATTTGCAAAATGTCCATCAATTGTCTCATTGTTCTTGCATTTTCATACAAATTACATTCTGTCTTCATTCTTTACTGTTCGATCTTCTGCTAGACATTCTATTCACGACCAGCATCATATACTACTTGTGTTTACATAAGTAGCACACACCACACCATTGGCCTGAGACGTTTTGGGATATATTCTTGGAATCAGTCCTCAATTTCTCATCTGTTTCATTCTCAGGTGAAACTCGAACTATTTTGATACATATTTTGGTTTTTTTTATTTTTAGCTCACTATTTCATTATATGACACGTTAATAGGAAGAAAAATTAATAGAAGCGATAACCATAAATCTTTAATATCATGAACTGTTAAAACAATGTTATCTTTTGACATTGGTAACAAAATTGTTAGAAAAATAATAACTAATGGATAATCTTTTGATTAATCCATTAGCTCAAAATAAATGTTAACTAGAAATAACTTTTCATCCCAGATATTAAATTAATATAATGAAACTGTGGGGAAATCTTAGCCTTTGGAACTGTTAGTTCTCTCCCCTAGAGATACATGTTTTGAGCGATTCCATGGGCACTGTCATACAATATTTTTATTGAAGAAGATTTTATCGCTTGTTAATCTATAGTACCATCAAAAACCATACCACACTACATTTCTGGTATAACCTTTCTTCAGATGCTTAATTTAAGCTAACTCAGCGAGTTATCTCACCAAAAATCTTTAGATCTATAATTGACCGGTCATTGAGTAGAGACCAATGTCATGTTTGTCTAGTTCTTTAAATGCTGATTGCATTCTTTCTGTCAAGTTATCAAGCGGCTACTAGTCTAAGTGACTCGACATGGCGTGCAACATATCAAGATGTTAGATGGTTGAAGGCAGTCAACAAGAAATCCTGGGCCTAAGTTTTATTCTATTGGACACTCGTCAGCAAAGTGAACTTGGTTGTTAAAATGTAATCCGCGCTAAAGGACTACATAAACATAACATTAGTCACTAATCAGTGATCAACAAATTGTAAATATCTGTCCTACAGAATAGCTCATTGGTAATGCTTCTGACTAATAAGCTAGGTGACACGGAATGACATTTGCCAAGGATCACTAGTCTCCTCAAAGTTAGAGGTACACGTTCCTAATGAGTGCCAAATAGCAAGAAATCAAGACTGAGTGTTCCCTACCAAATACATTCAATCTCCTGATATCCTGAACTTAAAGTATATTGGTAAGGAAATCATCCAGGATCACTGGGGCCGCAGATATTACTTTACGTTTCCAGTGTTAATAAGTTAATAATATTTATTATCATCAATGATTTAACAATTTTTTGGACTCATTAAGTAAACTTTGATTGAAAATGTTACTCAGTTGGTTTGAACCAAAGAGTTCTGCCAAGATTCCACCATTGTAACTTATATAAAATTATTCACTGAAAATGAATCTATGTAATTGACCTTGAGCTGATTTAAAAAGCAGTCCAAATATTGCTCAAATATCTACTTTATTAACGTGAATCAATCTTGAAGGAATCGGTGTTAAGTTTTAATTTCGATGGAATTAGTTATTTTTTAAATGAAAATAGATTTAACCATATTGATGAATAAAATAGGTTTAACAAACAAAGATTTTGAAATATTTTGAAATAGGAACAAAGTAGGGAAGAAAACTTAACAGTGAATCGATCATCACGACAATGCTAGGTGAACATTATTCAATAAAATGTTTGAAATCCATCGGCTTACCCATTCAAGTAAATGAATTTTCTCACATCATCTTCAAACATTGTTATTATTATCACTGTTATTATGATCACTTTACCAATATTTTCGAGTAAGTAATATCAGTTTTACTATTTTGTTTATCATAATCAATAATGGTAAAAAGGTTGTGGAGATTGTTGACAGCCGTCTAGTACTTCCCAGTCTTCAATGGTTGTCCAACTTAGCTTGGTTTTCGATTACGTCATGAGCTCCCTCTTATTTCGTTCGTCTACAAATGAGACTTGTATGAATATAGAAAGTAGTTATAATTATTCTTCCAAAGAGAACTGATTGACTATCAATTCAACACACTGAAGTGGATGTGTAGGACATTTTAAATGTTGAACATAATCTATGCACATAAGAAAGGTTTAGAGCACGTCAAGTGTAATGAATTCATTTCATCTCAACTGTTTGTTGTTCTTACGTTACAAAGTTTATCAAGGGAACTAATGTACTAAAATAGTGGATAGATTAGATTATCTTGTAGACTGACTTTTGAATTGATAAGTTTATTCAACTATTGTGATTATTTCATTTGCTATATAATGATTGTCTAAGTATTTTTTCGTGAAACTATGTATAAATATATTTGGGCTTACGTTGTGACACATATGGTATTTATAATAGAAATTTAAATATGTTGAATGTTAGATTATTGGTAGTTTTTGGTAAGAAGTACTGTATTTGTAACACAGCATAATTGTTTCCCAG